CCTGTTGTCATGGGGGGACTTACAGACAGAATGACCTTCCTGGAGAGAGTAAAAAATGTAATGCTTTCCCTTTTCTTTGACTTCTGGCTCGAGCCATACGATATTCAGCTTTGGGACCAGTTTTACAGTGAAGCATTAGGTAAGAGGTTATGCTTTCCATTCTAAAGTAGTTATTAAAAGAAACTTGGGAAGTTTAAGAATAGTCTAGGAAAACAAAAGGACTATATTTTAAAACTTTAGATTCTATTTAAAAGTCTATAATTTATAGCAATAAACTGTTAGCAGTATTAACGGGGAAGGGGAAGTGAGAAACATTTTATTATGGTTACTGTTTTCTTTACAGTCATCTCGTCATTTTGTAAGATACTTTGATATTTAATAGATTGCTATCAAAACAAAACAAAATATGAAACATAGTAATTAATGTCACTCCAAATCTATACTTGTATTTATATAACATTTAAAAACTAAACACTAAAGTGTTAAGGGAATCACATTTAGATGGGAGACATAAAATTTCCAAGACAATGTTCCATGCATGTATTGCCCTTGAAGACCTTCCAGTCAGACAAGATGTGGAGATGGAAGACAGTGATATTGATCATCCTGTCCCTTGTAGGCCTAAGCTAATGTATGTGTTTGTCTTAGTTTATAACAAGAAAGCTTAGAAAGTTTAAAAATTTAAATATAAAAAGCTTACAAAATAAGTATATAAAAAAGAAATTATTTTCGTATAGCTGTACAAAGTATTTGTTTTAAGCTGTTATTACAAAAGAATTAAAAAGTTGAAAACATTAAAAAGCTTATAAAGTACAACAGTTAAAGTAAGCTAAGGTAAATGTATTATTAAAGAAAAATATTTTCATAAGTTTAGCATAGGTTAAGTGTACAGTGTTTATAAAGTCTACAATAGTGTACAGTAATGTCTCGGGCCTTCACATTCACTCACCACTGACTCACTGAGCAATTTCCAGTCCTGCAAGCTCCTTTCATAATAAGAGCCCTATACAGGTATACCATTTTTTAAAATCTTTTATGCCATATGAATGCATTACCTTTTCTATGTTTAGATTTATTTAGATGCACAATACCTGCCACTGTGTTACAACTGCCTACAGTATTTTGTGCATATAAATAACTTACGGACATATGTTTTATGGGTTTGTACCCTAGGAGCAATAAACTATACCATGTAGCCTAAGTGTGGTGGAGGCTAGACCATCTAGATTTGTGTAAGTATGCTCTATGATGTTCACACAATGAGAAATAGCCTAACAATACATTTCTCAGAACATATTCCCATTATTAAGAGACACATGACTTTATGTACAAAACATGAAAGAATGTACCAAAAAACCCTTCCTTGAACTAATAAGAAATCATAGCAGGAGTACAGTATACGAGATTAATATGGGAAACTCAATCACTTTCCTATACACCAGTAATGAACAATTGGAATTTGAAATTACAAACACTATCATTTATAATAGTACCCCCAAAATAAAATACAGATCTATATGAGGAAAACTATAAAACTCTGAAGAGCAAAATTAAAACACTAAATAAATGGACAGATATTCCATGTCCATGGAAAGACTCAATATTGTCAATGTCAGTTTCTCCCAACTTGATCCAAGAATCAATAAAATCCTGATAAAAATTCCAGCAAGTTATTACATGGATATTAACAAACTGACTAAAGTTTAATGGCAAGGCAAAATATTCTGAACAGACAACACAATATTTAAGGAAAAAAAACAAAGTTGGAGGATGATCACTATCCAATTTCAAGACACATTATAAAACTAGAGTAATCAAGACAGTGTGGTATTAGCAAAAGAACAGACAAAAAGATCAGTGAAACAGAGGAGATCTATGGAATAGAAACACACAGACAAGACAGTCAATTAATCATTGTCAAAGAAACAAAGGCAATTCAATAGATAGATAGTCTTTTTAAAAGTAATGCTGGAACAACTGGACTTCCACATGCAAAAATAAATAAATATAAACACAAACCTTTTAAGCTTCACAAAATTTAACTCAAAAATGAACTATCCATAGAAATGTAAAATTCAAAACTATAAAACCCCTCGAAGATAACATAGGAAAAAACCTAGATGATCTTGGGTATGGCAAGGACTTTTTAGCTACAACATCAAAGGTAAAATCCATGAAAGACAATGAATAAGCTGAACTTTGTTAAATTTTAAAAATTCTATTTTGTGAAAGTCAATGACAAGAAAATGAAAAGATAAGACACAAACTGGGAGATAATATTTGCAATAAACATGTCTGATAAAGGACTCATCCAAAATATTTTTAAACTCAACAATAAGAAAATATAAAACCTAATTTTAAAATGGGCCAAATACATTAACAAATACCTTGATAAAGAAGATATACAGTTGACAAATAAAAGGTAAGCATATTAAAAATGCTACATATCATTTTCCATGAGGCAAATTTAAATGAGATACCACTACACATTTTTAGAATGACCAAAATGTAGAATACAGATAACACCCAATGCTGGTGAGTTATGGAACAAAGACTCTCCTTTTTCATGAGTGGAAATGCAAAATTGTACAGCCACCTTAGACAACAGTTAGGAGGTTTCTTACAAAATTAAACATAGTCTTACCATACTATCGTGTTCCTTGTATTTACCTAACGGAGTTGAAAACTTATGTTCAAACAAAAACTAGCAAATGTATGGTTATAGAAATTTTATGCATAATTGCCAAAACAAGGGTATATGGGAAATATCTTGACCTTCCCAAAAATTGTTTTTAAGATATGAATTTATTTATGTATAAGTAAATATAAATGTACTGTAAAGTATTAATTTTTAAACAGTGATTTAGAAATTATGTAAATTGGTTTACCCTCATGCCTTTGGAATGAAATCAATAACTTAGGGAGCCTAGAAATGTTGTCTGTCAATATCAATCCAGCTAACATGACTTACCTCTGAGAAATTGGTAACTGTCTCCCACGAAATTCTCACCTGTATATCTCATCTACCTGATCCATTTTGCCATAAATTCAGGCTACCTCTAGGAATTTTTTAAAAAATAATTTCAGTAGACTCAGATGTACGATTAAAATAATGTATTCTTCCGGCTACTGTGGCTAAGTGGTTGAGCATGGACCTATGAACCGGTCTTCAGTGGGGGGCGTGCAGGAGGCAGCTGATCAATAATTCTCTTTCATCATTGATATTTCTCTTTCTCTCTCTCTCTCCCTCTCCCTTCCTCTCTGAAATCAATAAAAATATTTTTTATAATAATAAAAATATATTCAAACAATAACAATATTGACATGGTAACTAAAATGTAACAGCCCCTTTATTAATTATATGTTATTTTCACAATTTTCCACTGTGTTCATCACTCATTTTGTGTAATATAATGATGGGGAAAAGATGGGTGGTGAATTTTAATTCTATATTTTTGCTTCATAATTTCTCAGTATGACATATAAAATATCTTATGTAATTATTTATGAACTTCTGCATACTTTTGCTCAATTTCATTCTCTTCACTTTTCATTGGCTTTAGATTTGATACTGTGCTGCTGCAGATACAGATTTTCAGTGAATACTTTAAGTTAGATCTTTCTTAAAATGTGGCTTACAGGTTATGCACAATAATTTTACCTAGGGGGTTGCTAATCAAGCAGGATATCACACAAATGGAACAAGACCTCTAAAGGGCATAAATGTTTTGGCATAGAAGCTGTGAGGCGGTGTTCTCATCTAATTTCTGCCAACTTCAAGCTGAGTGTCTTTGCGCAATGCTTCTTCATTATCAAATTAGAGCATCTGACTACACAACCTGAGACACATATTCAAACATACAAAATAATGACTAAAAAGAGGCTACCTAACCTGGGGTGTATAAGATCACTAATTTCTATTAGAATCCCCAAGAAAGGAGGATTGTCACCTGAAGGGAGGATTTTCTTCCCTTAGATACAAAACATGTTTTCTGTGTATAAAAATGGTTGACTTGGTCATTTGCCAATACTCTTCCAACAAATCTTCTAAAATTAATACTTAGACTCTGTCCCTTTCAAGAAATACCATTTAAAGGCAACATTAAAATAAATGTGTGATATCGGTAATGTGTAATGTATACTTCACATTCTAAAAGGAGTCATACTGGGTATAATTCCTACCAAGAAAAAAAAAGGATGAATGGATTGACGTTAATTGGATTTGTCTCAGGAAGATAAGGTAAACTGATATTGGTGGGATTCTTCAACAATATGAGTAAATGAAAAAGTATAAGAATCTAGATCAGCGGTTCTCAACCTGTGGGTCGCAAACCCTTTGGGGGTCGAACGACCCTTTCACAGGGGTCACCTAAGACCATCTGAAAACACATATATAATTAAATATTATTACATATTGTTTTTGTGATTAATCACTATGCTTTAATTATGTTCAATTTGTAACAATAAAATTGGGGGTCACCATAACATGAGGAACTGTATTAAAGGGTCGAGGCATTAGGAAGGTTGAGAACCACTGATCTAGATGGTGGAAATATATTACTGACAGGAAATTAAAAAACTATTGAGAAGTGATTTGGTGCTAACATGATGGGGTTAATGTATCATCTGCCATTTAATTGGAGGGAAACAGTGAACATAAAATTCATCAGTACTGGGAGCTGTGGTTACTTTTTTTATTAATTTATTTTTTGTGAATTTATTTTATTCATTCTTATTTGATTTTATAAAATTTATTTTATTGAATGGACTATTTTACACATTACTGTTCTTTCACTATCCAAATATTATCTCTTTCTCCTTCTCTCCCTCCTTCCATATTACTTTAAATTCCCTTTCCTTTTAAAATCTAGACATAATAGGTAATCTTGAGGGCCTAGATTTCTCTTTTTTCCTTAATAGCACATCAGAAAGTAGTGGTACATTTATTTTCCTAACAAACATATATGCTAACAACATCCTCCCCACTTTATTTTCTCCAGGAAGACCCACTACGTTATGTGAAACTATGGGGAAAGCAGAAATTTGGCTAATGAGGACATATTGGGATTTTGAATTTCCTCGTCCGTACTTACCTAATTTTGAGTTTGTAGGAGGATTGCATTGTAAACCTGCCAAACCGTTACCTAAGGTATGTCTATTATAGTGGAGGATTTTGTGTACCATATGATAAAAATTCTGATTTCCCTCTAAACTTTACAGTCTAAATAACAGAGATGTGCTGCTTGGTATCTTCAGTTTGCTACTCAAAATCAATTTTCCAAGTCATAGGGGTCTCTTATGAGTGATATTACTTTTTTGTTTTGACTTTACTTTGATATTTAAGCTGAATAATGAAGTGATTTAAGGAGCATGTTAAAAATATCAGTGGGTCTATAGTGTGGGTATGAGATTGAAGAAACAGGAAACTAAAGAATTGAAAGCCACTAAGGAGACTGCTGTAGTCTTCTTAACAAGCGTGATGGAATTATGAATAGGGACACATACTATGGTTGTTTGCATGATAATGAGGCTTTTGTGAGAACTGTTGGGTAGATTACACAGGATTTAGTCAGTAGAAGTAAATATTGCCAGAAGACATGGCTTCTTGGATAGCAGTGGCCTTTGCTGAAATAAGAAACAATTAATGTGATACTTATCTTTCTCTGACTTATTTTGCTCAGCATAATGCTCTCCAGGGCCATCGAAGCTGTAGCAAATGGTACGAGTTCCTTCCTTTTTACAGCAGTGTAGTATTCCATTGTGTAGATGTTGATCTCACTCATTTGTGGATTATAACATAATATTAATATTATAATATTATAACATGAACAACATAAACTGATGAACAAAAACAGATCCAGAGACAGAGAAGCATCGATTAGATGCTCAAACCTCAGAGGGAAGGTAGGGAAGGGTGGGGATAAGGGGGAGAGATCAATCAAAGGACTTGTATGCACGTATATAGGCATAACCAATGGACACAGACGCCAGGGGGGTGCGGGCATGAACCGGAGTGGGGGGGGGAATAGGGGGGATAAGGACACATATATAATACCTTAATCAATAAACAAAATTAGCTGAAGGCAAAATAATTCACATGGTACTTTCAAGAGGAAGATAAGCCAGTCAGAGAAAGATAAATATCACATGATCTCACTCTTTGTGGAATATAATGAACAACATAAACTGATGAACAAAAACAGAACCAGAGTCATAGAAGCATTGAATAGACTGTCCAACCTATGAGGGAAAACAGGGGAGGGGGAGGGTAAGAGATCAACCAAAGGACTTGTATGCATGCATATGAGCATAACCAATGGACACAGACAAGGTGGGGGGAGAACATGTGCTAGGGGTGGGAGTGGCCAGGGAGAGGTCAATAGGGGAAAAAGGAGACATATAATATATTAAACAATAAAGAACTTAAATTAAAAAAAATATATATGAACAAAATAAAAGGAAAAGAAACAATTAATGAAACACTATTTTGATATGACAATTATGAGTTCAAATTCACTTTAAGGAGCCAAAGGAATTTTGAGATGTAGATTTCTAGAAGTTGTATGAGTAATAAAAGGGTTCTGTCCCAGCAGAGCATTAGAAATAGATTGGGAGTCATCAACATAACTAGAAGTCGTAGAACTAAGACACTCAAATGATGGAATGGTTCTTTAAGACCATGATGTCAGTTTTTTTGGTTGTTTGTTTTTTGAATAAAAAAAGGAAATTGTATAACACAATCCAAAGCTATAAAAGAATAAATATGGGCTGCCAGAAATGTTGGAAGAAAACAATATTGGGAAACAAAAGAAAATAATAGGTAAGCAGAGTAATAACTATCTTGTATTTAACTATCTTTATCCATAGGGAGTGAGGAAACACTCATTTGCTTGGGTTGTAGGTAAACTAAATAATCACTGTTGAAGGTTGCAGGAGAAATGGTGTTCCCAGTAGCGTTCTTGATTTCTGCTTTGGCTAAGATGCATATTTAACTTTAAAATATCATTTCGGGATTCTGAATATGGTTTTCTTACCAACCAGTTACAGCTTCAGGAAAATTCTATTGAGTGTTATTACAGGAGAGAGTTAACAAATATCTAACTAAAGGTAGAGTAAGAGACATGACACATTCTGTGGCTTACTACAAAACACCTTGACACACTATTTTGTTTATTACAATTTCATAAAACCAACTCAGATATGTTTCACAAGAGGGAAGAATTTTTCCATTTCAAACCCAATTATTAATATAGATATTTGAGCAAATGAATACCAATCATGGCTTATATCTCTGGGGAAAAAAGAACTAAACCAGTCACTGAATACACAGAATAAAAATTTTAAAAAAAGCAACGGGAGACAGTTAAATCAAGAATCCAAATCAGACAGGTAGCTATGTAAGTTTTAATGTGTGTGTGTGTGTGTGTGTGTGTGTGTGCTGTATATATTTTTTATTCAATCATATGCTTAAGAAGATAAATAAAAATGGTAAAACACCAATTCCTGTGATTTCAGAGATATTCTCCTAAGTTTAATTAAGCTAAAAATAGCAGTCTACTTTTGTGGCATCATCTTTCCCCTGGTTATTTTACTATCCTTATATTGAGACATATCAGTGATCACAAGACAACCACAAATAATTACAAAGAGATTTCATCATCATCTCTAGAGATTGACATTCGCATAGATTGCAATGTGCAAAACCCCAATCCAAGACTTTCCAGTGTTCAACCTGAACAGCTGTAAGCAATGAATTTTATTTTGCAAAGAAATGTATATTTTACTTCTGTACTAAGGCTCAAATTAATGGCATGCAGTTAGTGTCACCTTCTTGTGGAAAGAGAGTGAATCACTGTTTCATAAATTTATCATGATTATAGCAGGTGTTTGACTGTGTTATCACCTTTTAAACCGATTATTGTATATCCCTTTTTTAAAAGTTCTATTTAGCCTTATAAATCAGGGAAAGAATAAATATCAGACAAATATCCTAAAATCCTAACAGAAAGTTAGATCAAGTCATTAATAACTTATTGCTTGTAAACTGGCATGTTTAAAAATTTTAAAGCTTAGTTCTAAACCCCTTTTGGGGGGTTTCCCTCCAAGGAATATTTTTATGAGTTTGCAAACAGTTCTGTTGGTTCATAAAATTAAGCTTTGGTAGTAACAGTTTCACATACCATGGGAAGATTTGCCTCTTATTACTTATTTATTTGGTACTAATTGGTGCACCTTGAAAGGAACTGTGGGTTGCCAGGCTGCGTGGACACAAGGGTGGGTCTTGGCCCATCCTTTAAAGCCCCGCCTGGCCCCTCCTTCCATGGCCCCTGGACCCCTGTCTGCCAGCAGCCCCACTCTCACCACAGCTCCCACACGCACTGACAGTGCTGGCCCTGTTTCTACCCACTGATGGTGCAGAGCGATTGGGGCAAGTGCCAGCAGCTGGAGCGAGGAGGGCCAGCACCATCAGAGGGTGTGAGTGGTGGCTGCTGCCCCAATTGCCCTCAGGAACAGGAGGAGGTAGAGAAGTCCTGCGGGGCAATCAGAGCTGGCAGCTGCAGCTCACAACTGCTGACAGTGCTGAGCGATGGGGGCCGGCGCCAGTGCAAGGGGCAGCTCTGGTGCTGGCAGCGGGTGCAAGCAGGCCGGCGCCAGCAGCAGATGAAAGCTCCCGTGGGACTGCGACGTGGGGAGCAAAGAATTTGCAGTAACCACCAGAGGCTTGCCCTGATGACAGCGACTGGCACCCCACCCTGTTCTGGCGCCCCAGCTCACCTGCTCCACCATCCCACTGCAGCTGACACCCGCCATGTTCTGCACTCTGCCACCTGCTGCCAATGCCTGCCATGTTCCGCACGCCCTCTGGTGGTCAACACACCATCATAGCGACTGGTTGTTCAGTTGTTCGGTGTTTGGTTGTTCCACCATTTGGTCTATTTGCATATTAGTCTTTTATTATATAGGATAACGGTTTGACTCCATGCCTTTAGTTGTAATCACTCATTATACATTTAAGCCATAGTTTTCAGAAACAATTTTTCTCTTAAAGAGATTAGATGGTTCTATGTGGTAGAATACCTAACCAGTCTAGCAATTTCTCTGATGCTGTTCTTGACCCTGCCCATTTAGAAACTAGAGGCCCAGTGCACAAAATCCGTGCACTGGTAGGTCCCTAGCAACTGCCGGCTGCTGGCTGCGTACTTCCTCCCTTCCCTCAGCCCCCTGCTGCCACCGCTGCCACCACTGCCAGGGCCTCCCTCCCTTCCCCTGGCCAGCCCAACCCCCTGGTCAAACTCCTGGACAACTGGTAGATGGGACATTTTGCATACTACACTTTTATTGTATAGGATGTAAGAGATTTTCTTCCCTGTGGTCCTGTACTTTCATGATAGAGAGAATTTTATCTCTACAGGAAATGGAAGAATTTGTCCAAAGTTCAGGTGAACATGGAGTTGTAGTGTTCTCTCTGGGGTCAATGGTCAAAAACCTCACAGAAGAAAAAGCCAATCTCATTGCCTCAGCCCTCGCTCAGATTCCACAGAAGGTCAGTACAACCTACGATCCTAGTTAGCAGCCACCTTGCCAATTGGAGAGAAAGTGCAGCTAACCAATAGTACTCTTTCCAGATGAAAGCTGAAACTCATTATACATTGAGCATAACTGACACCATCTTTAAGTACAAATTTCTCAAAACACTTAAATGTTGTATTTGGGCCCATTTGATCATTTGCCTACTGAGCCTTTGTAATACTATGGAAATACAGTACATCTTTTTGCAAAGTGATTTTCAAGGAAATACAATCAATGTTTGCAAACTACCCCTTTTGTACCTCTTATATATCACATAAAATGGACTACATAATTTTTAATTAACTCTACAGCCCTAAAATTCCTTAACTGTGCATTCTTACTTGTAAAATTAATGCACTTTCTTCCACAGGTCTTATGGAGATACAAAGGAAAGAAGCCAGCCACATTAGGAGCCAATACTCGGCTCTATGACTGGATACCCCAGAATGATCTTCTTGGTAAGATTGAGGGGGAAACGCTGTACAGTTGGATGATGAACAAGTTAAGTAACTGAGAGCAGCTAAGTTCAATCAACATTTAATACTTTTAAAATTTCACATATAACAAAATAATTGGCCATTGAGAGATTCCTGCTTCCTCTGGTTCACAAAGCAGAACCTTCAGTTAAGACTCTCCTGAGTTCTCAAATTTCAACCACAGTTCAGATATCACCTCCTTGTAAAGTCTTTCCAGAAAACACAGAAGGGGTGAATTTGCCATTTCCTGAGATCACAGTTTTCTGAGATAGCAATAAACCCTGTGTTCAGCTTCTATAGAGAATACTGCCTTCTTCATTGCTTTATCCTGTAGTTTTTCTCCATCTCTCTCTGAAATTCTTCTAACATATAATGAAATCCTCATCTGCTTCTCACCCAACCCTCCAACAGGTCATCCCAAAGCAAAAGCTTTTATCACTCATGGTGGAACAAATGGGATCTATGAAGGTATTTATCATGGGGTCCCTATGGTGGGAGTTCCCATGTTTGCTGACCAGTATGATAACATTGCTCACATGAAGGCCAAAGGAGTGGCCGTGGAGGTGAACATGATCACAATGACAAGTGCAGATTTGCGTGATGCCATTGAGAAACAGTCATTAATGAACCTTCGTAAGTACTACAGCCTTGAAAGGCTTACCATTGATTACATTACTCATCATATTCAAGAATGTCCAATGTACCATGTATTTGAAATTGGTGTATCCTATATAATAAGAAAGGGATATGCTAATTAGCCTGGACATGCTAATTAGCCTTGATATGCTGATTAGTCATGACCAGTATGCAAATTGACAATGACTCCAACACACTAGATGGCCACCACAAAATGGCCTGCAGGGGAGGGCAGTTAGGGGGGGACCAGGCCTGCAGGGAAGGGCAGTTAGGGGGAACTGGGCCTGCAGAAAGGGGCACTTGGGGGCAACCGGTCCTGTAGGGG